ATTATCCTCACATATCGGCATAAACTTTACATTTACTCTGTATCCTTCTACCAACTTAGAATCAAAATAATAAATCAGAATAATTGAAATTTTTGAACACATAATGAGGAAAGGAGTCTTGGAGAATTTAACACTCACGGGACATTGAAGGCATGCGTGGTAAAGTAATGACATTAAATAACTCCTGCTAACGAGTTTGGGTAAATGATTAACAGAACATGGATTAGGGGACATAGCAAAAAGACAAATATTACAAAGAGCTACAAAGCACTGGAAGTTGTGGAGGGCAATGATCTCCACGCCACGAAAGGACATGACACATAGAAGAATATTTTTATAAAATCACCTCTGTCCCAAAATAGTTGTTACACTTAATATGTAGGAATATGCCACAACTGCTATGGAACAAAATTAGTGATATTTTTTAAATTACTACTCTTATAAAAATACTAATATTCATCAGATACAAGGCACAAGAGTCACTCAAAGTAGAGGGTTACTGTGTAGTGTTGTATAAGCGTAAGAAGGGAAATTTATGAGGATAATATCAGGTCATCCCATAAGCTCTGTCCGAATTTTAACTTTTTGTTAAAATGAACGAAATTTAAGGAGTATTTTATAATGTCTAATGCAGCTGAACATTATTTTTATGTTTAGAAGCATTTAAACTGATCAAATTTTATTTCAGAGAACAATAAAATTAAATTTTGTTTGATTAAAACCCTGCTAACATTGAAGTATCCAAGAATCATTTCAGGGCACCATAATGCTTTATGAGTCCATGAAAGGAAATTCAGCAGCCCGAAGCGGCTAGAACGATTCCCTCGTTTTACAGAGAGGAATGTGTGAATGAAAGAACTCGCAGAAAAATGGTTTTGCTAAATACATAGGTGTAGATATCAACCCTTGAAGATGAAGAATCGAAACGTCTTGTTGAGTTTTGATGCAAAGCTTCTTGGAGCAGCTCTTGAAGAAAATCCTGCTTTACCAGTTGAGGAATTGGCAGATTCTCAGATCAAACCATACAACTGTTCATTCGTCATCTTCAACAACTTGGAAAAGTTCTAAACTTGGAAAATGGGTGCCTCATGAATTGTCTGAAAACAACCTCAAATCCCGAGTTGACATCTACTCTTCTCTCCATTCTCGTCAACTTGTTTCACCTTTTTTGGAAAGACTTGTGACTGGCGAAGAAAAATGGATCTTTTATCGAAATGTTAAGCGTCGTAGACAGTGGCTTGGTAAAGGGGAAGGACCCCAGCCATAGCCGAGAAGGGAACTTCATGGGCAAAAGGTTCTTCTTTCAATCTGGTGGGATCGCCAAAGAATAATCCACTTTGAATTCTTACCACCTAATGCTACAATTAATGCTCAAATAAATATACTGTCAGCAATTAGAGTGTTTGAACCAAGCTTTGAGGAAAAAAAGACCTGCTCCAGTGAATCAAAAAGAGGTGATGTTTCATCAGGACAATGCGCGACCCCACACAGGAAGAATAACGTCACAAAAGAATGAAGAACTTGGTTGGGAGAAAATTCCTCATCCACCTTATTCTCCCGATCTTGCTCCCTCAGACTACCATTTGTTTCGTAGCTTACAGAATCATTTGGAAGAAACAGCTTTTGTAACACAGGAAGAGGTTAAAACTGACATTTGTGAGTTCTTCGAATCAAAGCCAAAAGAATTTTACAGTAATGGAATTAGTAAGCTTGTTAACAGATGGAAGGAAGTCATAGATAATCAGGGAAAATACATTGTTGATTGAATCTGTAATTAAATGTAACATTTGGTCACTTGTTTTCTTTATTCAAAATCCGGACAGAACTTACGGGATGACCTGGTAGTTAAGCCTAGACTTGAAGAGGTCAAGATTATTGTGAGTCCATTCAACAATGCAGCCGTTCTTAGGAAGAAGCTGTCCGAGTGTAATCTTTTTCGTACTAACCCTGATCCCACTTGTAAAGGTCAGAGGGTAGTGGAACTAAATAATTTAGGTTGCCAGATCACATACTATAGAAATAACGATAGAGTAACGAGAATCTCGTGACATTTCATCTGTGAGAAAAGAGGCTGTGTTGAAGCTTTTGAAATCCATCAAGACAGACCAGTGAAGACTGTGCAGCTCCATCCCAGATATTTTGTTTAATCGGTATAATCCCATGCGTGGCAGTGCAGCCACTAGCACGTAGGGTGTAGAGGAATTAGGAAGAGAAATATTAGTAATGAGCAGAAAGAAAAGACTAATCAGGAGGACAGTAGATAGCGATTGACATTGCATTTAATGTTTTTCAGATTAAAGTTGGTTGGAACGCCTGTGACCGAGAGGGTGTTCCACAAGCGAGAAGTGGAAACTGATGTAATCTCGTCGCTAGTCTAGTATTCCGCCTAAATTCATACAGTCTAGGTACCATAGCAAAAAGCACATCCGAACAAATACCATGAAACTATTTATAAAAAAAAAAAAATGGCACTGAGAGCCAACCTTACTGAAACCGAACAGCCAGATCAGGACCAATAATATTGCTGATTCTGTTTGGGATATTATCGTGGAGCCCAGGAAAACAGCAGGGGCAGCGGACCATATATGATAGTAATATTCTAATCATGGACGGTTCGAAATTTCAATCACTTGATGAAGGCCGGAGCGTACAACGGCCGAAACGTTGTGATTATGACAATGAAGATGAGGATAACTTCCCGAATAATGTAAATAATGCATATGATAATATACACATCACAAAAGTCAGCCTTTGATTGAAAGGTTGAATTTAACTTTGACAAAAGATTTTTCTATGGAAGATATTAAGTGAAAAAAATTGTTGTATGAATTTTCCTGATTCCTCATAAAGATTTCCTTTGGCGGCAATTTTGACACTTAATTTCCGTGTGTATCTTTGCATGTGTGAGTCTCAAAATGCGACGAAAATTCGTTTGCTGTTTCTATTTATAGTTTTTTTTTAACAACAAAATCAGCTCCAGCGGCTTGGTAGCTTGTTGCGAATGTTTCTGAGAAATGCGTGGGCAAATGTTGTAATTTTTATTTTTTAGCCAATAGGATTTCTTGAAACATTTAAATTAGGGATGGATTTGAGAAAGATTTTTTTTTATGTCAATTGAGCCTATTTTTGCACAAATTTTGACTGTTTTGTTATGGAAATTTCTCGAAGCTTATTTTTATTTAACAACCAATGAAAGTCAAAAAATGTTTGAAAATTGAAATGATGGTTACTAAAAGACGAATGTGCTTCTTCAGTGAGGATATGCCGAAGGTTTGGGGCGAGAGGCAGTTGGAAATTCTAATTACCCACGATGGACATGAGCAGATCCATAAATGGATTGAGGAGGGAGTGAATCGACAGATGACTAGAACGCCTCTCATCAATGTCGTTCACTCTGGATTAGATGATTTACTTTGGTTTGTTTAACGGCATATCAACACCTTGTGGGTCATTTAATGCGAAAAATTGATTTTCTTGTGATCCTTGGTAAATTTTTTCCCAAAATATATTTGTTGTAACTTAGGAATTGTTACTGAGTGAGGAATAATCAAAACGGAGGTTGGAAATGGAATTGTAATCTTTATAACATCAACAAAAGACAATACTCGTCAGCGGCGTGGAGTAGGTAAACCACTGCTAGTGATGGACTACTGAGACAGCGTATTACTCCCACTTAAAATAGTGTCCAACGTATTTATGAGGATTGAGATATACCTATTAGTGTTCATAGGTACGGTATATAACACTATCTATCTATCTATCTATCTATCTATCTATCTATCTATCGCTGTCTACGCGCAGTCTGTCGGTTATGTCTTTCAAAAGCTAAATAAAGTATTAAGAAACAGGAAGATGTTGTTAGAAGCAAAGAAAAGAGTGATGTACTTCTATGTAATATCAATCCTTCTATATGGCAGGAAATTCCGGGCTATCTCCTCAGGTTTTCCAGAAGCTAAACATTCTGTGCATATCTATCTATCTATCTATCTATCTATCTATCTATCTATCTATCTATCTATCTATCTATCTGTTGCAACCTAGAAAAGGTTACAGAATGATGTATAGCCAAAACGGAGGTTGGAAATGAAATGGTACCCTTTATAACGTCAACAAAAAATACAATACTCGCCAACGGCGTGAATAGGTAAACCACTGCAAGTTGCGACCTACTTAGACAGCATATTACCCCAACTTACAATAATGTCCAGCATATTTATGAGGATTGGTACATACTCATTAGTGTTCATAGGTACTGTATATAACAGTATTGCTTATAATATTTTCCAAAAATGTATTGTTGCTATTTTTTTTACAATTAAAATGGTAATTCTTTCTGACGTCGTTTTTATATTTTCATGTTTTGGCCACAATTGGGAAGAGGTCACTATTTGCCCAGAGTTGGGACCCTAAACTGATGCTACCACTCTCGGTCAAGGAGGATCTGAGTGCAACAGCGATTAAGAAGTGATTCTCCCGATCAGAGGCCTTGATGCCGAATGTAGTTTATCGTCATACCCAGGAATAAATGTTAGAAACAAAGAAAAGGAAGTTGGATTGCTATGTGTTAACCACCGTCTTATATGGCAGAAAAATTTGGGGCAGTCTCTCCACGGATGAAGAGAAAATCGGAAGGAACAGAAATTTTGTTCTACAGAAGGATACTGAGAATTCCATAGATGTAGCAAGTAATCAATGGTGGACTTTGGAACAACAGTAATTATGACACAAAAGCTCGCAATCAGAGACCTTGCTGCCGGATGTCGTTTATCGTCATAAGTTTGGATCGGAGCGGTACTTACTGAAGAAACTTGTCAAAATACAGCCCTGAACAAGCATTGCTTGTGGAGATTTTAGGCAGTGGTGACAAAATATCACCTAAAATATTTACCCAAATATTTACCCAAATATTTACCCAACCTCAGCATACTTGATTAACTGGTTGTGCATACAGCTGGCCCCGAATAAGGGTTCTCTGCTCAAAACCTTATCGCTACTGAAATATGATGTCATCGGAACGTCAAGAGCAGGTCAAACTGGCGCACAAAAGGTTAGTGTTCTCTTTTGAGCCGACACTGGTCGAATGGAAATGACTCAAGCAGAGAAATCTGCTCAGTATCATGTATAAATAATCAATGAGATTAATCTGCTCATTATACAGAACAGACCTGCCTGCTTTATTTGATATCTTCTCAACACACCTCCCACTGTTTTAGCTAAGTTACACTAAATGTTTTATAGAGCAGGGGTCGGCAACCTACGGCACGAGTGCCACTCGTGGATCACCAAGAAATTTCCAATGGCACGCAGCCGCAAATGACATCATGAAGTCCGAACCAATAACTACTATAATGCAAAGAAGATGTTTAGCTGTTTCAATTTTAATATTTACTAAATTATAGTAAAAGTCCCAGAAGAATTCCGTGGATAAGACAAATTTGGAGAAGAATGACAATAGGAAAAAATCTTGTTTTTTTGACGACGCGTTTCGTCTTCCGAATTTATCAAGGTAAAATTGAAGCGAATTTTTTTTGTTTTCATAGCTACATTAAATCCAAACTTTAAAAAGAGAAAAAAACTTTTGTGGAATCCTCTTCCTGGATAATTCTAACTTCTCATTAAAAAAAAAAAATCTCTTAGTATAAATAAATGTCTTTATCATTACTGTCTTATATTCTTTTCCTTTTCTTCCTTTATTTTCTTTATTGTTTTTCTTTCTTTTTTCTTTCCTTCTTTTTTCTTTTCATTTATCATTATTATCTTATATTTCTTTCTTTCTTTCTTTCTTTATTTTTACTCGCTTTTTTCTTCCTTTTTCGAAATAAATGCATTTATTATTACTCTCTTATACACTTTCTTTCTTTCGCTAAATAAATGCCTTTATCATTAGTCATTTATATTTAATTTTTTCTTTCTTTTCTTTCTTTGTTTCTTTTCTTTCTTTCTTTTAGTTCCTAAAATTTTCACTTACCTGAATAAATGCATTTATCATTACTGTGCTATATTCTCACTATCTTTTATTTTCTTTCCTTTATTTCTTTTCTTTTATCGTTCTCTCTTTTACGCATTTCTTTCTTTCTTTCCCAAAATAAATGCATTTATCATTAAGCTCTTACATTCTTTCTTTCCTTCTTTTTTGCTTTTTTAATTGTTTTTTCTTTCTTTTTCTAAATAAAAGCATTTATCGTTGCTCTCTTATAATCTTTCTTTCTTTACTCTAATACTCTTCATTCTTTCTTTCTTTCTTTCTTTCTTTCTTTCTATAAATGAATCCACTTATCTTTACCGTCCTATACGAATTCTTTCTTTCTTTTTGACTTGCTTTTTCTTTCCCTAAATTAATAAATTCATCATAACTCTCTTATAATCTTTATTTTTTTCTTTCTATATTTCCCTAAATAAATGCATGTATCATTACACTGTTATATTCTTCATCCTTCATTAATTTATTTTTCTTTCTTTCTTTCTTTCTTTCTTTCTTTCTTTCCCAAATGAAGGCATTTTTCTTTCTTTCTTTCTTTTTTCTTTCTTTCTTTCTTTCCAAATTCTTTCATTTTTCTTTCTTTCTCCTATAATCTTTTTTCATTTTCTTTATAATCTTTTTCTTTCTTTCTTTCTTTCTTTCTTTCTCAAATGAAGGCATTTATCATTACTCTCCTATAGTATTCTTTCTTTCTTTCTTTCTTTCTCAAGTAAATGCATTTCTCATTACTCTCCTATAATCTTTCTTTTCTTTCTTTCTTTCTTTCTTTCTCACTTTCTTTCTTTCTCAAATAAATGCATTTATCATTACTCTCCTATAATCATTCTTTTTTTCTTTCTTTATCACTTTCTTTCTTTCTCAAATATATGCATTTATCATTACTCTCCTATAATCTTTCTTTCTTTCTCAAATGAATGCATTTATCATTACTCTCCTATAATCTTTCTTTCTTTCTTTCTTTCTTTCTTTCTTTCTTTCTTTCTTTCTCAAATGAAGGCATTTGTCATTACTCTCCTATAGTATTTTTCCTTTCTTTCTTTCTTTCTTTCTTTCTTTCTTTCTTTCTTTCTTTCTTAAATAAATGCATTTATCATTACTCTCCTATAATCTTTCTTTCTTTCTTTCTTTCTTTCTTTCTTTCTTTCTTTCTTTCTCATTTCGGCGAGACATTATTCTGAAGGCGCTTGTGAATATTTCAATGGAAAAGTCTCTTCATTTTCCCGTTGAAACTAACATCCACAACGCATTCATTTGAATTCCATGACAAAAAAAAGTTTACATCAATAGACAGACGAGTGGTTAAAATTTAATCAGAACGAAATGTCCAACTCCGCTTTTCTATAAATATTATCAATACGATGCCAATCTATCTATCTATCTATCATCTATCTATCTATCTATCTATCTAATGCAGTCTTTTCTCTTTCTAAGTACTTTAATTATCTATCTATCTATCTATCTATCTATCTATCTATCTATCTATCTAATGCAGTCTGTTCTCTTTCTAAGTACGTTATCTATCTATCTATCTATCTATCTCAGCCTGTTCATTATCTATCTATCTATCTATCTATCTATCTATCTATCTAATCTCAGTCTGTTCTCTTTCTAAGTACGTTATCTATCTATCTATCTCAGCCTGTTCATTATCTATCTATCTATCTATCTATCTCAGTGTGTTCTCTTTCTATTTATCTCAATATGTTCATCTATCTATCTATCTATATGTGTGTGTGTATGTGTGTGTGTGTGTGTGTGTGTGTAAGGTTGCATACATTCTAACTTATTAATCATATAAGTCAACGCGTTTAAAAAAAGCATCAACCTGCGTCATTTCACATCTGCTCAATTATGTATCTTAACTGACAACAGATGAGCTTTTTTGATCCGTTCAGGGAATAACGCCTGTCACCATCTTCATTCACTTGACAGCTACGTGGATCGGCATTCTTTTTCGTCAACTGAGAAAGTTTTCTCTTCCCGGCTTAGACTTAATTTTCGTTCGCTCTCTCCTAACACGCATGTGTATATGTCCTATTTATAAAATAAGACACGGCAAGTCACCGCAGTTTTTTTTTTCAAGCTCGAAAACTACGAGTTTAACATACTAAATACTCAAAAATTGACTGACGTAATATTACAGGCAGATTTTTACGACCGAGAATTAGGAGACCACGAGTCTATTCTCAATATATGTGAACTCAAAGGAAAATTTACGCTGAAATTTTTTAAAATTATTCCCTCATTTCTTGGATTCGTTTATTAGAAGCTTATTGCTAGATTGGAAATTAGGTTTAATCATTTTATTGGTTAAATAGCTAGATGTAACCATAAGTTCTATTGCAATGTTTTCTTCTCTCGCACTTCTCACTTGTGTGACTCTTCAGCGTCTTCTTATTTCCTTTTGTTATATAGCGTGCCTATGAACACAAATGGGTATGTCCCAATCCTTGTAAATACGTTAGACGCTATTGTAAGTGTGTGTAATATGCTAAGTAGTCCACCACTAGGAGTGGTTTACCTACTTCACGCCGCTGGTGAGTATTGTATTTTGCTGATGTTATAAAGATTACCATTTCATTTCCAACCTCCGTTTTGGCTATTCCTCATTCCGTAACCTTTTCTATGTTACAATAGATAGATAGATAGATAGATAGATAGATAGATAGATAGATAGATAGAAATTATTTATAGTGTTATATACCGTACCTATGAACACTAACGTGGATGTCCCAATCTTTATAAATACGTTGGGCACTATTGTAAGTGAGGGTAATATGCTGTCTATGTAGTCCACCACTAGCAGTGGTTTACCTACTTCACGCCGCTGGCGAGTATTGTATTTTGTTGATGTTATAAAGATTACCATTTCATTTCCAACCTCCGTTTTGGCTATTCTTCATTCAGTAACCCTTCCTAGGTTACATCAATCGATTTCATCACGATTCTTCTGTTAAACGTGGAGATTGATTATACATGCTTATCAATCAAACTAGATTCCAATAGTGGCATAAAAGCCTCAGAGATTCCAGTAAGATATCTTTAATCATTTCTTAAAGATTACCATTTCAATTACAACCTCCATTTCGGTTATTCCTCATTCAGTAAGCCTTTCTAGATTACAACACCTTTCAACTACGATTTCGAAAATTCAAATGCAACATCAATTGCCATATTTTATTTTTCTGAATCCTGTTGTTTTTATGCAAATTTTCCTCACTAATGATTCACGCCCAGCAACCTCTTTCATCTCAGTGACATTATCGCCTTGCATAGAGAGAAATGATTTTAAAAAATGCAATGTATTCGGCCAAATTTGTGCTACTGTGATTTGAGCGGGTCTTACTGCGCATGACTGAAATTTGACTTTCTCGGTTTTGCTTAGTTAAGCAACGAAATGCCATTGCAATAGTTTATGTAGTGTGTGTATAATAGCGTCATTAATGGCGTGATGTATATTTTGTTTTATTGTAAAGTTGCTCAGATAATTATTTCAAATGGATTATTGAGTTGCCCTTGATTAATAAAAGGTTCAGTTCAAAATTGTTAGAAAGTTATCTTTCTTGGTCGAATAGGGATTTGTGTCGAGTAATAGATACATTAAAAAACGATGAGCTCAACGACTTTATCGTGACAAAGGTCCTATCTATCTATCTATCTATCTATCTATCTATCTATCTATCTCAGTGTTGCCTTTCTATCTCAATATGTTTATTATCTATCTATCTATCTATCTCAGCTCTATCTATTTCCAAATCAATGTGTTTCCCACGGGAAAAGCGCAAAATAAAACAAACCTTTTTTTTCTCTATTATTGCGCTGTCGTAAAAAAAACAAAAACTTCTAGGTGCAAAAAAGGAGTAAAATATTTCAAAAAATAATAAAAAAATACTTTGGTCTTTCCTCTTATTAACAACATAAACATACGGATGACAAAACTTTGTTTTCGTTGAGTTATGGGCCTTTCTTAAACGTGATATGCTGTTTTTTTACGCGACCTAGTGGAGGTACCTAAATTCTTATCTATCTATCTATCTATCTATCTATCTCATCATGTTCATTTCCTATCTATCTATCTATCTATCTATCTATCTATCTATTTCATCATGTTCGTTATCTATCTATCTATCTATCTATCTATCTATCTATCTATCTATCTATCTATCTATCTCAGCCTGTTCATATCTATCTATCTATCTATCTATCTATCTATCTATCTATCTATCTATCTCAGCTCATTTAGATTTTGGTGTAAAATAACCCATAGAGATGTTGATATGCTGCGAAACAAATCTAACCAACGAAGGTCTCAAAAAAAGCGAAGTTGCACCAATAGAAAATTATGGTGATTCATTAAAGCTTTCTGGATGCTAGCCAGAGTCACACTGTGGAAGTTTACTGCTAGTAACTGTATCAAATGTAGATTCAGTTCAGCGACCGTCACTGGTAAATCGACAAGGTCCAATTCGGCCTCATGAAACAGCTCGGATACATATTGCCAGGGTGTCACTACACAAGCCCAACGAGATTTGGGATACGAGATTTAGAATACGAGATTTGGGATACGAGATTTAGCATAAGAGATTTGGAACACGAGATTTAGGTTACGAGATTTGGGATACGAGATATGGGATACGAGATTTGAGATTTGGGATACAAGAAACTGCACGGATACATATTGCCAGGGTGTCACTACACAAGCTCAACGATATTTGGGATACAAGATTTGGGATACGAGATTTAGGATACGAGATTTGAGATACGAGATTTGAGATACGAAATTTAGGATACAAGATTTGGGATACGAGATTTAGGATACGAAATTTAGGATTCGAGATTTGGGATAGGAAAATTCGCCATATCTACCATATTTTCCTGATCTCTTGGGCACTTGTTACCAGATTTTCCAAGCATGTTTTAAGCGAAAAGACATTCTGTTGCAGAGAAAATGCAAAACCTTCCTCAAAAAAACTCAGTGTCCTCACTATTGATGTTTTATCGCAAAGGCAACTCAAATGCAGAACTGTATAGATGTTCAGGTTTCCTACCGTCCCGAGTATGACGATAAACTACATCCGCGTCCAGGGTAAGACGATAAACTAAGTCTAACAGCTAGTCCTCTGATCAGGAAGTTTTGTGGAGCATGGAACCACTTCTTAATGTTATTGTTTCCAGGTCCACCCTGACCCGGTGTGGTAGCACCTGTTAGGGTCCCAGCTATGGGAAAATAGTTAACCCCCAAACTGGGGTCAAAACACTAAGAGAGTGTAAAAATAGATTTTAATATCAGCAATACATTTTTGTAAAAAACTATTACCAGCAATAAATTTTTGAAGAAAAAATTATTACTGGCAATAGATTTTTGAAAAAAATATTATCAGCAATAAAAATCTTGTCGCCATTATGAATAAAATTAAAAAATAGAATTAAAAATTAAGAAAATAAATTCAAACCCTGATCTACAAAATAATTTCTTACAAAAATTACATATTCTATTCATACGAACCTATTCTAAAAATCTTGTCAGCATTAAATAACCCATTGAGGTGTTGATATGCCAAAAAACAATATAAACCCAAATCCTGATCTACAAAGTGGTTTCTTACAAAGAATACATATTTTATTCATACGAACCTATTCTAAAAATCTTGTCAGCATTAAATAACCCATTGAGGTGTTGATATGCCATAAAACAAAATAAACCAAACCAATCTGTTTTCCTATTTTGACTAATTAAAACATATTTTGAATGCAATAGTTCAGGTATAAAACTGAATTCGAATATCGGCAATTATTTTCCAAACAACCTATTATTGTCCAATAGTAAGATAAAATTGAAAATATTAACTCCAGTCAACATTTATGAAATACTTGTAAAATCCCCAAACTCCTCAGAACATTAGCTGTAAAAATGGATGACAACTACAAAAAACAATATTTATTTAATAAGAGAATATTAGTGAAAAAAAAAATCAGTGGTTAAAATACATATATATATATATATATATATATATATATATATATATATATATATATATATATATATATATATATATGTATATATAAATGATTTATAAATTGAATGAAGAAAATATCTGGAAAAACAAAACAAAAATCCTTAAAATGCGATTATGTTGTTTTAATATTTTCTTTCTTTTCGTCTGACGTTTCGGTTTAATAATTTCTTCAGTCTTGATTCATTAAAAATACAATTAACATAATCAGTATAACACGACGAAAACAATGGACATAAAAACAAGTCTTATCCAAAACAGATAAATGAAAATTTTAAATGATCAGCTTTCCGTTTGAGCGTGGTCACGTTGTCGTCAAATGGGCGACGCTTTCAAAAAGTATTCTTAAAAATTTTGGATAAGACTTGTTTTTATGTCCATTGTTTTCGTCGTGTTATACTGATTATGTTAATTGTATTTTTAATGAATATTGTCCTGAAGAAGGCTATTAAAACCTAAAACGTCAGACGTCGATATTTCATTCATATTAAAACAACATAATCGCATTTCAAGGATTTTTTGTTTTGTTTTTCCAGATATTTTTCTTCATATATATATATATATATATATATATATATATATATATATATATATATATATATATATATAAAAAACTTAGGCTGTGTAATTTCAATATATATATATATATATATATATATATATATATATACAAAATACTATACATAAAAAGATATACTAAAATTTCGTTACCTCCGTACGAATACTCATGATCAAGCAAAGCTGAATAGTCTCTTTAAACACAGAATTTACTCTGACTTTTGAAATATTCATATCTGCTAAGTTTCGTATCGTAGCAAAGCAATTTGTAAAGAAAGGAATGCTTATTTTATTTATTAATCCGTCAGATATTTATTGCTTAAACCTTATTTTACGTGGATACTCGAATACGAATAGACGTTCCATTTATTTATTAAACAGTGTATTTATTTATTTTTGTCTGCCAGTCACAATGTTCGAGAAATTTTTATTAGAGGATGATTTGCGTTTTTGTAACCGAGGCACTCTGTAATCTAGAGGTCAAATTACTTTCGATCTAATGTCGGTTTGTTGTAGGGGAACGCAGGTTCGAATCCTGGCGAAAAGAGCGTATTATTCCCCACTGAGATTTTCTCGATTCGATGATAGTGAAAGTTTTAAAACTAGGGTAGCATGATTATTGGATTTGAATTTTTCTTATATATATATATATATATATATATATATATATATATATATATATATACATGCAGGGTGTCCATAAAGTTCGTGTGCACTTCAAAAATTTATAACTTTATTTGTATTTGCGATAGCAATAATTTGTAAAAAGGATTAGAAAGAAGGAAATCTATATTTTTTAAGGTTTTATTGAAATTTTATTTAAGTTTCCACATGTCCTTCATCATTAGCAATAGAAAGGGTAATACGATTTTGCAGTTTACGGAAAACATTTGCCAACTGATTTACAGTAATGGCTGCAATCACATTAGTTATTTTAGCTTTCAAATCTTCTAATGAACTAGGTTTGGTTGCATACACAATTATTTTCACATGTCCCCATAAAAAATCTAATGGAGTCAAATCTGACGAACATGGAGGCCAATAAAATGGTCCATCCCTTCCGATCCATCTGTTAGGGAATTCCTGATTTAGAAACTCTCTAACATGCAGAGCAAAGTGACAAGGAACTCCATCTTGTTGAAACATTGTATTATCTTTCAAGTTTAATTGTTCAAGCTGCGGAATAAAGTAATTCTGCAGTGTATCTAAATATCTGTCACTGTTAATAACACGATATTGAAAAAATATGGCCCTATGATCTGATTTTTTTCCCAAAGCCCACCACACATTAACTTTAAGAGAGTCCCTTTCATGTTCAACAGTTTCATTTGGGTTTTCAGTTCCCCGAATTCGGCAATTATGCCTGTTGACCTTGCCACTAATGTGAAAGGTTGCTTCAGAAGAGAACAGTAAACTACTCACAAATGCATCATCATCGCTAAATTTTTCATTGAACTGATGACAGAAAGTTAACCGTGCATAATAATCCTCTTCTAACAACTGTTGATGTAATTGAATTTTGTAAGCTTTCATGTGAAGTTTTGCCCGCAGAATCTTATACACACTAGACTTTCGCAGCCTGAGCTCTAATGATGCACGTCTTACAGACTTTCTTAGACTTGCTGTAAAGGATTTTTCTATGGATGCAACACTTTCGTCGCTGATACATGGCCTTCCGGACCGTGGCTTATCATGGACAGAGCCTGTCTCTTTAAATTTTTTCATCCGTTTAGCAATAGTGTTCCTATGAGGTGGTTCTTTATTGTATTCAATTCTAAACTTTCTTTGTACAGCAATAGTAGATTTCAGTTCAGCCAACCAAAGGACACAGTTTATTTTTTCCTCAGTTGAAGCCATGGATCAAATTGATTCTGGAAAAAAGAAAATACTTTTTTACTTATCTAAAACTTGTTGCAAATTTTGTGGTAAAGAATTATTCAATAACTATACTTAAAACTAGGTACATTAAACTTTATAACATTTTTTACAGATTATTTCTATCGCAAAGTGTACACGAACTCCATGGACACCCTGTATATATAAATAAAGACATTTTTTTGTTTATAAATTCTTTTTCATATTTTCTATGACAATTTCTCTGACTTTCAGGCCGGTAAATGTTGTTGATACTGTTTATTATAAACAGAACATTTACTTAAATATTTGTATCTATAAAAAGAATGTATAAACATAAAATGTCTTAAAATAATTGTCGACTTTGTCCATTTCATAATATATATATATATATATATATATATATATATATATATATATATATATATATATATATAAAATTATATAACGTTAATAATTATTAATAAAATTAGCCCAGAGAGAAGGATATATAAATTAATCTATTTACTTATTCAGACGTATATGTTAAATAAATAAATACATCTCAAATGAACGGAAATTTAAATTATGTTAAGAAATTACCCAATAATATTAACAGCGCTATATTTTCTTCCTATTTTAATAGATATCGCGGTGTACGAGGTCAGAAACGAGAATGATACTGAGATTGCTTCCCGCCTTGCTGTAAACCGTCCCGTCCGTTGTATATAATAAAATCAATTACACACCGTATCTGTAGTAGAAATGCACTGATTCAAATTATTCATCATATTTTTGCCGCCATTGGCCGAAGAAACGAAAAAGAAAAAAAATAGGGCAAAGAAAAAAATAGTT